GAGAAGGAGAAGGAGAGAGAGAGAGCAGCACTCCTGGGTGTCCACCAAACATTCGTACAAAAAACAAAGGCAATTTTTCGTATTTTTATACGTCAATGTCTATTCATCATATTATTCATCTGTCATTCGTTTGTCTCCATAACGTCTTAGAACTAATGAGGAAAACGTATTCATAGTTAAAAGATAGAAGCCATGCCATCCTAGAATACAAATGTCATAGAATCAACATAATATCTTTTATTCTTGGCTCACTAAAAGACAAAAAGTGAACGCATGGGGAAAATTGACTCATGTTTTAAGATAATACATCGCATTTCTACCCCGTATTCAAAACATTAAAATGATAATAATATCCTCATTTCTGCTGGTCTTCAAAAACGTTTAAAACAAATGCAAATAAAAATAAAACCAAATAAGCTAACAACAACCCCCCCCCCCAAAAAAAAAAAAAACCCAACCCCGTGCAACTTTTAACGCTACCACAAAGCAAAATAAAGAAACGCATTAAAGATGCACATTTTTCAAATTTAATGTAACCGGATATTTCTAAAAAGAGTAAAATAAAAAATATTGAAAAACATCGATCTGAAGTATGTGTCCCGTTTGTAGTAATCTCAGTGAAGGAAAAGCAATCCTGGGAAAAAGTGAGTTAGACAAACAGAAAATACAGATGAATGTCTTCTGGGCTTTGCTTTTCTTCTACTACTCCTTGGCTCCTTATTAGTGCTATCTTTCTACTGCTACTCCTTAGCTCCTTCTGACTGCTGTCTTTCAGCAACACCTCTGATCTTAAGGTAGGAGAAATCTAACACCTAGCCTTTTAGGATAAGGGCAAAACATCTTGGAGGTCTCGTGTGCAAGTTGCGCACTTTAAAGATCCCTTGGTGACCCTAAAATCGATAAGAATAGCCTTCGGCCGCCACATAGGCAAAATTCAAAATTCCTACCAAACTGAAAATACTTAATGAGTCCCGCTCGCTGATATGACCTTATGTAGTTTCGAGCAGCGTAAAACATTCATCAAATAAACCCCCCCCCCAAAAAAAAACCCCCAAAAGAACCCAGAGGAATGACGAAGAAGTGGGACATACCGCTTAGCCTGTCTGAAAGTTAGGAATGTTTTTACATGTGGTTGTGTGGAAATGTACATACGTCAGACATGAATGCTTCTAGTCCTTGACGTGGTTGTATGGAAATGTACATACGTCAGACATGAATGCTTCTAGTTCTAGACGTGGTTGTATGGAAATGTACATACGTCAGACATGAATGCTTCTAGTTCTAGACGTGGTTGTATGGGAATGTACATACGTCAGACATGAATGCTTCTAGTTCTAGACGTGGTTG